GTCCTGGCTGATATCTTCATGGGAAACCTAGAGACCAAGAAACTGCTACACCGCATAAAGAATACACTGCTCCACGGCCGTTACGTGGGTCACATTTGGCGTACGAGCACAAGCCGGCTTGAACTGGTCGGTAAATTTATTTTAGAGGTTTCTGTCCAATGCAATCCAAACAATCGTTGATGGACACTTTGGTCTCTAGACCCAGGACAAACCGCTACAGTGGAAGATTAGAGTTGGATTTTTGCTGCGTATCGACGGCACTTCATTTAAATGGACACCCCATAAAGTTTATTACTAAATGCAGAGCGCCGTTGAATAAAGCAAAACAGAGTGACAATGCCAACAAAAAAAGATATTTTCATCAACATACCGTTCAAAGGTGATCAAAATGATAGACAGATACAGCACAGGTTGGAACAAGTGACTGAAAGTACGTATCATGTTGCTTCCTTTATAATAGTGCACGACACGAATCAAATGCTCACTGAATCCAATCAAGACAAACCCGACTCTTCAGTTACCTCCTCTTGTGTTTACCTATTTCAGTGTACTTACGTTAGTAAAAACGTCGGAAGAACTGAGAGACGATTGTCTACCAGGATAGTCGAGCATGCACCAACGAATTTGACTTCTAATGGGTGCAAGCTTCCGTCAAGTTTAATCGGCCTACGTATACTGCATTGCAAATAATGTGACAAACCTAGAAACACCTTTTGTGTCTTGATCCTCCAGATGGGTAGCCGTCTACTGCGGCTCACTCAGGCAGCTGCCACTCGATGTTACAAGCCCAATTTATGTGAAGAGACTGAATTTGTGTCCAGCCTCGCGCTGACCTAACAGATGTCACCGTCCTTCACCCCCCGCGCTGCAGTGATTACGCTCCCTGCCACCATGTCTAACCCAGTTTTAATTAGCCTTCGTATTGACTCATTTCTCTTCCCTGTGTGTTTTCCCCTGTCCCCAAACCTGCCACTCTTTTAACCAAACGTGATCTGAACGTGTGTGTACACAGCTGATGAGATTACCACGGAATAGTTGAATTCAACGGATCCTGTAATCATGATTCTTCTTCTTGCTCTCATAAAAAATGTTAAGGGGAACTGGTTGCATGATTTGGCTCATGCATTATGGAACTCGCTTTATGATGATCTGATTTTCCAGATGTTCTTGTTTTGGCAAATTATAGGGAACAAACACACTACTTTTGAATTGTGAAAAGATGGGATTCGATCCCATGCGTGGTCAATGCCTACATTGTGGTTGTGAACAGGGAGTGCGACCGGTTCGATTTCATGCATCAACTGGTAGATCGCCCGCTGTAAAATGGTGTGTGGTTTCGAATATCAGCGAGGCTACCAATTTGTTTCACAATTCTAGCATAAGCTGATCCGATTATCACCAATACATTGCTGATGCAATTCCGTTCTGTCAATCACAACAATATCTTCAGTGTCTGAGATGGTCCATACATAACTCTACCAGTAAAGACTCACCCAAGCGGAAGATCTTTTGATAAGCATTATCGGTCACCTGAAGTATGTTGGTTTAAGAAGCCCAATGCAGTTGATTTTCTGTGGCCATACGAAGCNAAGGGAAGTGAACTAATCCGCCATAAATCCCTATTGCCTGTATAAAATCAATGTTTATCCCATAGAGAATTGAGGATCAGTCAACCTAACTGGTTTTACAACAAAGCTCATTTATTTGCCTATTTTATAACTGCATTCATTCAGAAGTACACACTTTATACTGTCAGCACATGAAACAACTCTGTGATGCAACAATTTAACATGCCAATATGTTTGTGGCTCCATTAGCGGTTGAATTGTTCTTAGTTTTGCTAGTCAGAACTAGTAATCCAGATGCATAATACACATCTCGTGACATAGCGTTTAATCCAATCTGAATGAGACAATCAAAAGCATCTGAAATATTGTTTCTTTGTGGGACAAGAAAGCCGTGTATGATCGCCCAGTTGGCTGTTACACAAGAACGACCTGCACGGATAGCTCACTAAGCAGCCAGTTTAAATCCAGACCGAGAAGTACCATTCTGGTAAGAAAAAGCGTGTGTTTTTGTCCGATTATTGACACTTACATTTTGCTATGATTGTACACTGTCTATGAGGAGGTTTAAACGTGCACAGCAGGACCATTTTAATGGGTCTGTGTCGATTTATTACAATGTGCATTGTTGTATCTTTAATTATCGCTCCTGTGCAGACAACAACAAGCAATCGTCTTTAGCGCTAAAGACGGCGTATAGCTTGAAATGTTTGCATCACAGCTAGGGTCTTCAGACCTTGATTGATCAGCAGGGATCTAGAAAACCAACCAAATCCAGCAATCTTTTGACCTCTTCTCACGTGAAGCCATGGTGTGAAACGCATTCACGATAAATTTAACCGCGAGAACACCAATTCAGAGGCAAAAAATAGTTTTCATTGATTTATCTTCTAGCGCGGGAAGATCGTTTAAGGAATTGACATGTTGAAATGGGATTGACCTTCGGGTACAGTGATTGCTTGGCATTTGGATGTGATTTGAGTGGTGTGACATGTTTCACACCACTAGGTCACCACAACAATCAAGTTGTGATACGTCATACGCGCGATCAATTTTCTTTCTACTACGGCATTTAAATGGCATGGGCCAATTTCTTTTGTGCACATAAGATGTATGTGAACAGAAAAATGATAAACAGTGATCAAATTTCTGCCCCCTTTTCAAATGTCGCATTCGCATACGATTAGTGCAGGCTAGAGGATGAATCAATGAAAACAACTGTTCACATCTGAACATGTGTTCCCATGTCTAAGAGGGCACATTATATAATCTAAAAACAACCGTATTGATCTTTTGCATCACCAAGTCTGTCATAAAAAAAGAAACAGCACAATACACCCCATGAAGTTAGGCAACCGAGGCCCGTCAAAGCTTGCCTTACATAAAAGCATTTTAGAGATTGTTGCTAATCAGTCGACACAAGTATTCTTAGTTGTATATTCAAATCTTAGTGAACTGATGTTTATTTTATAAAATTGCATGGGAAGTGAAAGAAACATCATGTATCATCACGCACGCATTTATATTTGCTGGAACGAAAATTTGCTGTTTTAATAGTTGAAGATACTTTGGCCCTCTGCTACTGAATCAATTAGCCGCGTTCAACCATCCATCTGCTAAATGAAAAAAGCCGTTGTACGACAACCATTTTGGGTCTAAACAATGGCTTCCCACGTTATTCCGCAAAAGAGGGATTCGCAAAAGCAAACGTTTCACATCAAGACCGACTTGAAGCTCGACGTTCTCCACAGTTCCATACAGCTTTGTCGTTTCCGACAATGGATAACCGGTTCCGTTCTTGAGGGTTGCTCGTTTGCATATCATTCACCCGTTCTGTTCTCTCGGAGGGAAACGAGGCACTTGGTGTCAAAGGTATTTTACATGATTCTTTGGATTACCATAGTCTTTCAATTGCGAATACAGACATTTCAATGCGTCATGAACCGTGCTATTCACCTCATTTCAACGGTAAACTACATCAGATTTACATCACAATCACTCTTTTCCCGGTTTTTAAAAAACAATACTGTCGATTAAAGATGTGTAAGATCATTCCCGAAGTTTCTGATGATGACTTCATCGGTTAGGACTGTTTTGCATATGGAGCTGTGTGGAGTAAATCACAATATCCATCAATGAAATAAAATAATCATTCTTCCCATATGTCATTGTGCCTAATTAGAGTTCTGGGAAGGACTTGTAATTAGTGGACTATGTTATTTTCTCAGTGATCTGTTAATGTTAGAACAGAGCGCCTAATATTGTTTCACTTGAGTCCCACTCGACGTTTGTTATCATTATTAGTGTTAATTGGTAAGACATGTATAATTCACTCCACGTACATTCACTGAATGCCGTGAATGACATCAAATGTAAGCACCTAGACAACTAGTCAAGCAGTGACGCTTCCCCAGAGGTTGCGAGTCTATGACAGTATGACTGTTTTGATTACCTCAGAAACGCTGTTGTTCACGCAGCTGATCAATAACAAATTAGTTGATTTTATCGGTAACACATGTGTCACGTGTTTGTGATAAATAAACTTAAAAATGTGGATAAAAGGATGATGTTTCTGTGAATGCTCATGTCAAAGAGGATATTCTGGGTAGATTTGGCAATCTCTGGAGTAATTAATTATGCTGTTGTAGATATGCATATTTTGGTGCCAGTTCATTGCCAAAAACTACAAACATCCAAGCAACATTTACAACATATTTATTATCGATCGAAAGCTTGCTGAGTCACAGTTACGATGAACACAAATTGTTTTGTTCACAGGAGTTAGAACAACTGGTTGGTTTTGTCTAATCCTCAGATGACGGTTAAGTTGATCGATGTAGCCAACACTTACGGAGCGGAGGAATGACGCAATGGTTAAGATAGTATCGACAAAGTTTTATGCAAATGAGTTTGGTCACTGTAAGCCGTCGATCTTTGAAATCATGCACACACAAAAACACTGGTACCGGCTACCCTTTGGGTAACCGATTCACAAACGCACAGCCAATGCTAACAACACTTGATGTGAAAATCACGACGCGCTTCGGATAAAACTTGTACAAGCCACCCCGTGTTCACAAACACACAGTCCTTTCAATACCCTGTAAATTATTCTGCTTGGCACATATGCAAACACACTATAATCTGCTTGTGGTGAATTGTGCAGGAATGTAAAATAGAAAAAATGTGAACAAAACTTTGGGAGCAATTATGAGGGTTTTACTTCTCGTGCAGGGTTTACAAAACAATACAAAACTGCTATAGTAGTAAACATGATCGTCATCCTCAGAACTTCATCGATCTCACCGCTACCACCACCGCCGCCGCCGCCGCCGCTGCTGTCTCCGCCGCCACCACCATCATCGGCATTACGGCAAAATCAAAAGAGTCACACACACACACACAGGCACACATACAAAAGATTTGGCCCCAGATTTATTCCGGGGTTCGCCAGATCAAATAAGTGTGACCTTTGTACAAGAAAAAGAACGAAGTGTATGGAATGTGTGAGAAGCTGGATGCAGTAGAACCTTTGCAAATGACCACATGCCACATACGACCGTAACGTGAGTCCAAGTATTTCTTCAATCTATCCGCAATATATCTGGTATCACCTTGGCATTCCCGCTCGATCACATACACCTCTTCACTCAGAGCGATCTGTTCGTTCATTCCCATAGTCGCCTTGATTACTTCGAATTCCGGACGAAGACGAGGTTGTGAGCTGACTAGTCCTTGTCGTTTGCTTCGACTGTGAGAAGTGGGAAACAGAAGCATTAATTGCAATGTGAATAATATCTCCCGCTGACACCCCTCTTAAAACAAAACAAATCTATGATAGCAATCCTGGGTCACATCATATTTTAAGTGGAATGTCAAAATGTGATCGATTGGCTGGGAACACAAGGGCATTATGCTGATAGTTGTGAAGAAATTTTAGTGAAACCCAAGGGAAAAGGTCAAAGTTCCGGTATTCTTAGGTTCTTATTCCCCATCTGACTATATATATATATACATATATATATATATATATATGTATATATACCAGAACCATTTCTCTCTCATCTACGTAAAGATGCAAATGACATTAATTGCCAGTGGAAAGCTCAGAGTTTTCCATCAATCATGTTGATTAGCACTGAGGAGTACAGAAGTACTCCACTTATCGCAGGAATTTAGTTCGCGAGACCACCGTGAGTGATAGAAATCCGCAAACTAGCAGATTTATATTGATTTTTACATGTATTTTGAGACATTTAACTCATTCCCACATTGCTCGAAATGTTTCTCACTCTCTCACATACATGTCATTTATTCTCAAGCACTTTGTTCACTCTTAAGCCTGTGTAATCATGACAACGCGGATAATCCGACATGAATAATCACCACTGAAATATACAGCAACTTGAAGGATGAAAATCATGATTTATGTGGCTGTTCTTTACCGACAGTGGGGATGATGATGATGCGGAGGATGAGGATACGAATGATGTATTGCCTAGTTGCGAACAGCACCAAAGCTAATCCTACGATACGATTTTATCAGATAGTGCATCATCTTTGGCCTAGTTTATTACTTCTATCTCCGCTGAAGATGTAGAAGTAGCTAACCTGTTCGTCCCAGTAATGTGCACAGTTACTGCTGGTTCTTCCTGTATTATAGTCTGTATTTGTTCGTTGATAAAATACATGGCTTATTTTATTGCAACTTATGACTGTTTTATGTTTAAATTAGTTTTCTTTGTTTCATATTTTTAGGTAAAAGTATTTCAAATTGAAACTGTCAAATAAGTGCAGCACTAAAGAAACTGATGTGGCCTGCGTTCAATCCAGAATTGAAGGCAATAGAACATATCTAGACTATTCCTACTTAAAAAAACAACAACACTTTAGAGTAAACACTACAAAGAACCAATTAGAGAGAGTGATGATTATGGAGTAGAATAAAATCGATAAGGACATAATAAGAAATCTTATGTAGAATAATGAAGTGTCTTCAACGGATTAAGTCCGGGAGTACATATATAAGCATCAAAACTGTGAGTCTCCAATAGGTGAACTGCAACATGGCGAAAAAGCTTTAATCCACGTTTTTCGCAAATTGCATTTTGTCTCGTCATTCCTCTGACGTTGGTAGTTTGAAAGACAAACAATCAAATCGAGTGAAATACATACGAGATTTTCCCACATGTATCTGATTTACATTTCCGGGGATAATGATTTGAGTAACAATGTTGAGGACTCTATATTGTGAATCAATTCCAAGATCGAAAGTTGCGTTTTGTGTATGGATTAGATGCTACTAATGACACTAAACTTGGCTTGTTCGCAAATATTGATGAATCGTGATGTAGAAGTGATTACAGAAGTGCAAAACTAATCTAATAGATGACTAACGGATAAATATATGTGATTGACCGTCATTATTGCTAAGCTGACCGCACGCTTCTAATTAAATTTGTCTATACAAGTAAATGCAGCTTGTTATTAATGACCTCACAGAAAAGATATCTTGGAACTCGCACGTAATTCGAGCAGGCGGTTACGTAAAAACTACATCTTGCTTGCTATCGCATCGCAATACACTGCATTTTTGTGCTTTTTTTAACGTTCTAAGAAAGAACGTTTCGCAATTTACTTCATCCTTTTTGTTTAGATGTTCCTTTCATAAAGGACAAACAACAACAACGACGGCTTTGTTGAAGAACATTAACAATTTTATAGCTGGGATGATCGGCGAAATTAGATCCAACTACCGGTATATATTATCTGAACCCATGAATGCACTAAGAAGTTCGACGCAAGAAACGTTTGAAAAAGACGGGATACGCAATATCGCCGCTGTAATGATTTTACCACGTTTATTACCAGTACCTAGCTAATCATTTCGTTTTGAACTGTTTCTTTACTGGTTAGACATCTGTCACACAAAAAACGGAATGTACGCAATTTTGACAAGCCACCAATTGAACTACTGACGAAAGTAGCATTCCATTCTTCTGTTCGACAGTGGTAAGGTATGTAACTGAGAAACCGTATATATGTCTCGATTCTATCACCCTACCCATATTCAGTGCGTTTGATTTAGTCTCCATGATGTGAACCGGAAGTGGGGAAAAGAATCATTAAATTGTGATATAATAACAAAGATAATTAAAATGCTATTTATTCATTCATTCCAAACAATCCCGGTCGTGGAATGAACAACTAATTGAGTAAGACTTGTGCCATTCATTTGCACCATTGAAATCAAGTGTTAAGTGGCAGACAATGTCACATTTAGTTTGTTCAGTGTGCCGAAATATTTTTGCTTCGTTCAAAATATGCAACTCGAAAAAAACGCAACGATACCAGAAATCG